AGTTGGCTTATCGTCACTAAACTGGCCATTAACTTTAGTCCCTTCGAACGGACCGACACTAGCATAATCACTGCATAAGACACGTGGGTTCATGGAAGACTCTTTTACTGCATATGACGACACCAACGACGACTGGCTGACACCAGTTGAAGAACTTAGCGGTGTATCAGAAGCTGTTGTTGTTAGACCTTTAGGAGGTTGTCTAACCACAGGATTACCACCACTGCTATCTTTTATTATTGGCTCCAGTTCAGCTTTAACATCTGTCGATAGTTGGGCTACACTCGGATCATTTACCCTGACGGTCTCACGATTATTCATATCTGCAGCAACCGCATCTGCCTTTAATTCTACTTCACTTTCAAGTTGTACAGAACCTTCGTTCAACTCAGTAGTAGTAGGCATTCCGCTAATCTCATCATGATCAGCCACAGACAAATGTGAACTATCGTGACCATTGTCACAAATACCCACTTTACCGCCGTTTGTATGTTTGACTTCATCATTTTCAACCTCTTTAATAACAGCCGCAGATGACTTAGGCACTTCCTCATGAATCCATAGAGGTTTTATGCCTTTACTCTGACTAGTAATACCTTGTAAACTCGTGGAGTGAGAACTGGACACTGAAACTGTAACCCTCTTCGTATGCACTAAGGGTGGTATCGTCTGAGACACTCTTTTTAACAATGGATTACCAGTTACGACTACAGACTTCTTCACCGCACCATTATCGATACACGATTCGGAGTCAGAACACGATGACGCTGACTTCACATTTAGCTTGCCACTAAACTTGCTCGTTGCTTCACAGTTCGCCTTCGCATGCACTTCTTGCAAACGGACGAAGCGCAACCGTGTTTGTCTTGCAGCTTGTAACTTATCCGTTGGGGACGTCTCGCTAAAGCTGCCACAATCATTAGGTTTACTAAACACCATACAGCTTTCTCGATATCCATTACGCTGAGAACCCTTCGTCATAAATGATTGCATTTTACTCTCTGATTTCTCTATTCCGGGGGTAGGATGCAGTATACTAGCAAACTTGCTCAAAGCTTGGTTGACACTCTCTTTCACCAGGCTCACAATGTCATCCAACCTGGGCTCTAAACCTTCCTCCTCAAGACGTGAACAAACCTTTATAAACTTCCTTTGAAGACGAACAGGTAATCTCTTAGCAACAGTCTCAAGCACGGAACTTGAGTTCAATTCATCTACGCAGTTAAGAGACATGAGTGTATTTCTATATACCATCAAATTATCCAAGAACTCTGCAAGTTCCTCTGCATTATCGTTTAACTGTGATCCGTTACCTTTCACTGTCTCGAAAATACTACGGGATATCATATATGGTTTTCCAAACCTTTGACGTAGTATCTTCATGGCCTCAGTATATCCTTCGTTCGGGGACATAAACTTGCAGTACTGTATGGCTCTTGCAACCACACCAATGCAATACCTCAACAAAAACATTAACTTCATTTCATCATTTAATACAAAACCACTCAGCACGACCTCAAACTCTTTGATGAACTGTGGGTAGTCAGCTGGGTTTCCATCGAAGTATCGCGGTTCAAACTTAGGCAATCTTAAACCCTTACTACCCCTTAACGGTGAAGCGTGAACATCAAACTCAACATGCTGAGCAACATACATATCATTACAATTAACAGGCAACTCATCGTTACTTACTTTTTTGTCTGCTTCCACGGTGCCACGTCCCTTTCTTGACCCAGGCATTATCCAACGTCACCAAAAAATCCAAATTGCGTTGATAATCCTTGTCCAAAGAGAAGCTGGCTGCAGATCAAGTAAGTACACCCAGAAGATTTCCAGAAGGCGCCACGAAGACCAAGAAAAGAATAAAAACTGACCCAGCTTGCAATCCAGACGACGAACACACGAATAAAAACTGTCAAGGAACTTAGCCCTAAGTTCCTATCGTAATGAAGACTTAAGCGATTGAGCCGATAAATACTATGCGCTTTCTTCAACTTTAAATCCAAAACACCAGTATTCCTCGAACGAAATTATATTGTTTGGCAATTAAATTGAAGAAAACTACAAAGTCTGCAAACAAATGTTAAGTACACATGAAGTTATAAAGTACTTTTATTCGTATTCAAATCCAGTCTTCCTTCAACTTGCAAGCGATCGTTCCATTCGCGCCTTCAATTGCCCGCCAATAGTTGCCAGTTCCAATAAAACAAACGTTCAATGTTCACTTCCATTGACATCTTCAAAATTCCTTATAAAATTCCAATAATTTGCAGGATTACCGTCAAACTTAATTATCTCTCTTTTAGGCATGTCCAGAAACTTGGACATGGCTCTGGCGAGCTCATCGTTACAAGATACAGCGATATGATTAGAACATTCACGACTACCTTGTCGTAATCTTTCCAGTTCAATTTCTTTCTCTATTTGGACTATACGCAATTTCGCTAGCTCCAATTCTACCATAGAGTGTGATGCATTCTCGTTGCTTCCAGGGAAATCAGCTTCATCACTCCTTTCTAACTGTGGAGTTAACGACGGCATAGTTTCATAACTTTCGTCTGCCATACTGTTCAAAACTTTGTAGGATTATTTTTGTCCTACAGATTTAGTCCTTCCTCAATACTGACGACACAGAGTCTGGGCTTAACTATAGTTAAAACAGAATGACTTGACTTTAACTCTATCTGTTTCTAAAACATAAAATAAATCATACAATTACACCAAGAAAAATGTACAAATCCACTGTCATTACAAAAAAGGACAAAAACGTATCGAACAGTATTGAAGGTACGGACAAAATGAACAGTCAATTAATTACATGTATACAAAAATAGAGTGACAGACAAAAAAGAACATTCAAGGTCATCACGTGGTGAGAGTTACAATAAACTGGCCAATAATCGCGACAAGAAGGTCACATCATATTGATTAACTGTCTACCATATAGTCTATCTATCTGTCGCGATTAACACCAACTACAACCAAACTTTCCTAAGATAATGTGGTGAACATATATCCATAATGTTGCTGAGCAGCTAATATTCTCAACTGCTGTCAGAACAGCTGAAATTCATAAACCTTCCTCACGCTAAGAAAATACCCACGAGCAGTAGAAATCCATTAATTAATGCGTCTAAAGCCTATGTGTTTACTCCCAACAATGACATTGCAGATCAAATGAGATAAACATATTACTGATTTCAAAATAACACATAAATGAACTATAATTCAAGGACTCTGCACATAACAAAGTTATGTGTGAAAATTGACTTCAAGCCTTATTTTTTTTCCCAGGCACTTATAATCCATCCACCAAAGACCTGGTTTTCTGGTTAATGCGAAGACAATACTTCTGGATTTCCTGATGTGTTGCATTCACTGACAATCTAGCAGATTTTTTCAACTGTGTACAGAAATGATTGTATATAAGTGAAAAGGCTGTTTTATACTACTGGGATTAACTTTTATCAAGTGTATGTATAATCTCCAGCGAACATGTAAAGCATATCTTGCTACCGCCTGTAAATTGTGATAGAATTATATGGTTCTATTTCTGTAACAATTTGATGATGCCTGTAAACTGGCGTCCCTCATGTACTGTACTATGTGCGTCGGTGGCACAGTGGTTAGGACTCTCGCCGACCATGCACATGGTCCGGGTTTCGATCCCCTGCCGGCGGCGCACACCCGATATCTATGGTTGGCCTGTAAATTTGGGCTATCGATATCCACGCTGAAAATTCCATACTTGTACTGAATATACGGTGTGGAATCAAGCAGTAGTCAAAATAAAAAATAAATAAAAAAATATTTATTAATATCTTGCGTCTTGTTAAGGGCAGCGACTTCTGGTGCAACTCATTCTTTACTTTTTCCGAACTGCAGTCGATTGAGATTTAGGAGGAGATTATGAAGTTACTGAAGCGGGTATTTCAATCTTATCTTCTCCTTATCAATCTGTTCTACGCGATGGTGTACACAGGATCGTCTATTGGAGTCTACCGAAGCGCAGATGTTTCTGCATCTATGTTCAGCGCCTTTCCAGCATTAACAAGGCCTCGTAACCAGCCAAGTATTCTTCTGACGCATGTGGTGTTCATTTTATGGATTCGCCATTTCCGAAATTCGATGTTATGTGAAAATGCAGATTTGGGCCAAGTGCGAATGACCTAGAGATACAATATACATCCATTCCTCGAGTTGAATAGTGTGGCCGATCGGTCGATTCAAAATAAGCCCTAGGCGCTGAATTCCCCAACATGAAGTTGACCGCAGGGTTTAGAGAACCATTATTGGTAGCTTGGTGGCTAAGATAGCTGAGAATAGCTAGTATTAACTGCAACAGGGAAGCGAAACGTGATCAGGAGAGCCTCGCGTGCGTGTGGATTTGTGTGAATGGTTAATAATTTCTGAGTGCTCCCACAGTGGAGGTTGGTTTCTTCTTGGAACATCTGAAGGAGAATGAGCATCAGTGTTAGGGGACGCCAGAATGCAGGGAATAAATGTGTGAGACGGATTTCACATGGTTTTGAGAGTTTTGTTGGTGTTCAGTTCTCTCTGACGACAATATACCCCTTCAAGTTAAGTCAGTGTGTATACTTTTTGGAGCTAATATATTCTATCGTTCCCTCTAGGAGAAGAGAGGCAATGTAGCTGGATGATGATTGTTCGAGGGAAACGCCATTATTCTGTCAAAACCTCGACATAAGAGCTCATAATTTCAGCGTCAGATCCGTTATCCTCGCACCACTTCCTATGGAATCAAGCTAATTTAAGTTGGGTGGGTGGTGGGAAATGTTCATTGAAGCTTAACAAAGAACAGAGGTTTCCAACTCAAACCATGAAGTCAGCCCAAAGAGATAATGTGGCTTGCAGTAGACGGTGTACAGGGTATTGTATGTTGAAGTCCATTACACAACATTGGATATTGAATATTGTTTAAGCTGTCATTTCGTGCATTTACGCCAAACTTTGAAATGGGGGAATTGCGTAGACAGCGCATTTTGGAGAATCTAGAACTGCTGGAAAAATTCACTAGTTTGTGTTGATTTCAACTGTTTTCATCTTGCCCATAGAAATATCACCTACAGATGCTGAGAAAGTCAAAGAAATGTACGGTATCAAGAAGGTAAGAGAAACATGATCGTTTCGATCGATCTCATAATACGATCGTATCGGTGATGAGTGTTCCGTTTTTAATCACACAGATTTGTCTAGCGTGTAGTAGAATTGTGAATGCGCATACGCTTCCCTTGCATCTTGTGTCTGAACTTGTCAAAGTATGCCCAGTGGTTTTGACAGCTAGCTTAGGCTAGTTAGTCGTGTGTCATACATGCATATCCCTACTCTGTATGTAATGACTCACACACACTTTGATAATGTTATGTCATCGATTATTCTCTAACGATGTTTTGTACGCGTATTATGGTGTTATTCTGAGTGATTTACGAAACGCTTGTCTTGGATTTCGCTTGAGCACTCTTCCTACATTTCTTAAAGACATAAAAGCCGCAAGCTATCTGTTTGGATTAAGGGTTGTAATAAAGTGTACGGATATGCAGGCCTGTGTTAACGCTTTCCCACAATGTATGTGTGTTTTCCACTCGTCTACTCACTGAGTCAGTTGATGACACAGCCATTACTTTTGGGAGTCCAATATATCCAGTATCGCTTTTACTAGCTGGTATAAACCAATTTGATTTCTTTGTGCTCGCCTCTTGATTGTGAGGTATAGGTTCCTGATCTTCGGTAAACTTCTGCGTAGCTCATCCGGTCAATCGACTGTCGTACCTTTGGTTGACTCCAAAAGGATTAATTATATGTGGTTTGTTGTATTAGGTGTGTTAAGACTGTTACCACTGTGAATAGAGTTGATCCTTTGACCAGTTAGTCATTTATTTGGTAATTGAGTATAACACGAACTGTATATCAAGATGAGTAAATAGGCGTTTTTCGCTTTTAAATTTATTGTTGTTTGATTGTGTTTGGTGGTGAGTCACTTGGGTCACACAAGATGAAATTAATTCACCTCAGCTGTTATTATGTGTATCTTGTTATTAAAAGATGACATTATGCAGAAGAACTAAGATAATGGCTGGCATACTACCTGTGACACATATTCTCAGGCTCTGAGACCTGTATCGAATTGTCAAGACTGCTAATTTCAAGTGAAGTCAGTTTTTGTAATCCGTCCCACAAATTCTGTCACTGCCACTTGATTGCACTGCACGTTTTCATTCTGTTTGATTTGCCTTGATAATTAGGTCATCGATTTCAGTGTGGTGAATGTGGAAAGCTCTTCTCCAGTGCGTTAGGTTTGAAGATTCACACTCAATCTGTTCATGAAGGTGAGTTTGTTGTTCTTTGTGTTTATTTTGTGTCACTGTTTCGATGATGTATTTTGCGTTGTAATAGTGGCTGACGGACTTTGTCACTTACAGAAAATTGTGTTGCTGCCTTTTATATGAAATATGTTTAGTGTCAGTGTGCGTGCGGAATATGTGAAAAATTTGTCTTGTTAGGAACCTGAACCTGCACCACTTCGAATCACATGGTTTCATGGCTGAGTGGAAATTTTCTGTTAAGAGATGTTAAGAGGTTTATATCGAGGATTCCGAACGCACAATATCGTACTGTTTCCTATCAGAGTGAAGTTAATAAGTATCCATCTATGTTGTACATATTTCATTTTCTCAATTCGACACGTTCAGTAGGATTTAATTGAAGAAATCCGGTCATATTGTGTGTTTCATGCTTCAAATTTCGCTCATTACGTTTACTTAACATTGAGAGTATGTTGGAAGTGAAATTTTTTATTGACATTGTATTTGTGGCTTCGAATGTGTGATCTTTGTTTGCAGGTTCTAATGAAATATCATTCCATCGTGTTTAGTCCTTTGGAAATCTTTATTTCTACTCAGAATCTGCAACGTATTCTAGTTTGAGTCGAACATAGAGTTTCAGTAGCCGATCTCTATGTCACTGTTCCCTGAAGTCTTCGTTGGTTGGCTCCACAGTTGCTCGTCAATTCAGACTTCATTGTCACACGACCTCCTCGATGTCACCATTGGGACCACGTTGAAGTCGTTGCTTCCTATTTGTGTCTCACTCGAGGGTGTATCAGGTGAAATCGTCCGTTAATCTACTCACCCTGTGTATCTTTTGCATCTCTGTTTCCTTATAAATATTTGTCAGACGATTGGTTCTTTCCCAGAATTCCTCATTTTCACTCTTTTCTGGCTGGCCATTTGATCTTCACTGTCAAATTAATGGAGCAGCAATTGATGTAACTTTGCAGTTAGTAGCATGTTGAAAATTCTTTTGGAACTGCTTGCACTGTGTCTATGAACCATATAAAAGCACTGATTGATTTGGCATTAGTGTTGAGAATTCGATTCTTCCCTTTGGTGAGTTCTGTAGATCTCTACATCGACTTCTGGCCTTACTAATCGTGGCTACTCATCTGTTCCGCCTCCTATAGGTGAAATGGTGCGTCCTATCTCGGTGAGTGAAGGAGATGACCTCCTGTAGATTTCCTCTTTTGGTTGTGGTTGTCACTTGTTGTTGTTGTAGTTGTTCGGGTATTTTCCTCACCTCTACCTTTTATGTTCACATCTTTGTGTCACATCTTCGCTGCCTCTTCTGCCAACTTACTGGTTTTCTGTTGTATGTCTTCGAGTTTGTGAGACATAAGACAATTATCATACTCGATATGCAAAACTCTGGCGGTCCAACTTATGGTCGTCTTCTCATATCCCACAGCCTGTTATATAATCTAATCCACCGTAATTTTCATTGTCACTGACGATTTGAAACACCTGTCTTACTCCTGACTTCACATGAAGGCCTTAGTGAGCTTTCTGTTGTGGATCACTTGAGATGTGGTATTTTCATATAGCCGGGTGTTGGATGAGGTTGGTAAGGGTTTGGTGCTCTGCACTCCATGGTGCTGTGCAGTTTTCCAAGTCGTCGGTGGCACAGCGGTTAGGACTCTCGCCGACCATGCACATGGTCTGGGGTTCGATCCCCGGCCGGCGCACACCCGATATCAATGGTCGACCTGCAAAATTTGGGCTACCGATATCACATGCTGAAAATTTCATACTTGTATCAAAAATACCGTGTGGAGTCAAGCTATAAGGAAAAAAAATAAAAAAGACTTCACTGTGTGCTTCTTTTAATATTTGGTTATCTTTCTACGATTCCTCATCTTCTGCACTGGTCACGTGAGCATACCTTCTGTGGTCACGAGGTCGTTCTGAGTGGTTCTGAGCGAATTCAACATAGTTCTGCTGATTTTTCGGATTCCGGCAAATTTATGGCATTCAAGACTTCCGATTTTGTTGAGAATTAGAGTTCACTGAGAATTCTGTAGCTGTAGGTGGTATTTCTGGATGAGTTGCGGCAGGTGGTCGTTTCAATAGTCCTCTGAAGTGATCGACCCAGTGTTTCCCTTGTTTCTGTTCCTTGATAATTAGGTTTCCATCGCTATCTTTCGTTGTTGGCATCTAAGTTGTAAGGCTGTCTTTTGGCCTTCCAAGTATTCTGCTTGACTTCTTTCTTCAGTGCGTTGTATATTGAACTCAGCTTCTCCTTCCGCTGTCCATTTTTGTGTTGGTTTATCTTCCTTTTTCACACCCCTCTCTCCAGGTGTCCTTAAAATTCCATTCCTTGTCTTGCCTCTTCTTGCTTCCTAAGATGGTTATGTAGATTTTCTTCATTACCACTTTCAGAGAATTGCAGTGTTCTTCCACACAAGAATTTTTGGTTATGCCACATAATTTCGCCAAATTCAATCTGCTGGCTGCAGTGAACGGGTGTCCTTTGTAGTTTTATCCTTCGGTTTCTGAGTGTTGCACTTGAGTTGTGGTCTGTCTGCGGGTTCTTTGATGGCTTTCAACTTGACCTTGAGTGTTTCATCCTCTAGATGATACTCTGAACTGATATGTGATCCCCTTCTCGATTTTGCGTTCAGTTTTTTGAAATTGAGATGACGCCTGTGTAATTTTCTGTGTATGCACCAGGTAAAACCCTTGTCTGTTTTTTACTTGGGCATACTCCTCATACGCCCACCAAAACTGTGAAGGCGTCGAAGTGTCCTTTGTCATTCATTCCTCTGAGAGTCGCTCAACCTATGATGAGTTCTCCTCCTGTGTTGTCTGTTTCGAGTTCGTCTTGCCTTCATACCGCCCATGACGATTTTGGTGCAACAATTTGGGATTTTATCCGTTACTATTTTCGGTTATCGACAGGAGTCTTCTTTTGCTTAATCTGCGTTGTTTGCGGAAACGTAGCATTGGATAATTATTAGTTTACTACCTTTAAAGTGGAATATTATTGGATATTGTTTCCCTCTGCATATGGTCATTTGATGTTGTAAGTGACAGAGCTTCGATTTATTTTGTGAGGTAGGATCGTTATCCTGACACTCCCGAACTTCCTTCGTTCTTTGGGCTTATAACCGTTTAGTAAACTACTAAAAGTAGGCGAAATTTCAGTCCCCTTCTCGTGGAGATCTAACATCTTAGAGAAAAACTACTGACTACCAATCGACTTGATATCGTGTGCATTGTGTTGATTATATGTTTTGTGTGTGTCTATATAAATCCAATTCTAAATTTCAACTCTCGGCCGTAGTAGTTACAGATGATGAGTTTAAGAACCGATGTGGACATCAGTGAATTTCAAAGCTTCGTGGTGAGTACCAACATGAGACTTACTATCAAACCAAAGCCTTACTGTCCAGACAGCTGGTAGTTCCTATTCCTTTGTGGTTTGAAAACGCATCCGTTGAGGACTACTTAAGCCTCATGGAGTTAGAATTGAAGTTAATATAATATATATATTTATTCCTGTTTATGCAGGAACATACCAATTGTACAGGCATGGATAAGTTATTATATAAATTACAGTTTGTTTGTTCAATCTAACATTAGAGTCAGTCAGAACAGTCTGCAAAATAGTCTGTCTGTGTAACACATAAAGAGATACAGAAATATTGTCTTCGCATTAACAAAAAACCCAGACTTCAGATGAATGTAATACAAATATCTGGGAAAAATAAAGCTTGAAGTCAATTCTCCTATAAGACTTTGTTGTGAACAGCATCCGTGAGATAAAGTTTATTGATGTATTATTTTGATTCAATAATGTATTTATTCCATTTTTGTCAGCAGTCTTATCGTAGTTTTATAATAGGAAAGAAATTTGATCTTTGATACGAAAATAAGATAAGGTAATGTTAGATTGTTTTACTGCATCAAATGAGGTCAATTCTAGAACTATCCATTTGCGCCATTTGCGTCAGCATGGCAGACTGTACATGTAAGTTGAGTAATACATTGATAACTGTTTGAAAACCAGTTGCTTCTTTATTTCAGATCAAGAATACTCCTTGTACAGAATGTTAGCCAGCGTTTTCAAGTGGTTGCATCGGATCGTTCATGGAATTTGAGTTTGAATTTACATAAATGGTCATTTCAGTTGGATGTTGGGTTGTTCGAATTCAACCAGGAGGTATATAGAAGATTAAGCTCAGCAGGGAGATAAAGTATGTAAAAATGAAGAAAACATTAATATTTTATGTATATATAAATGTATATCATTGTATAGTAAACACTACCCATAATCTAGTTGTTTTTCATGTAATTTTGCGAAGTCTTAGAGTTAATTTAGTGTCGTAATATTTAATAATGAGTCTAGGCGTTATAGTGTTCTAATAGCTGATGCGTTTTGGAAATAAGTGGTGCGGTGTGATTGGCATAGTCATTGGGATGAAACAGTTAATATAGCAAGCGTTTGAAGGTTATAATAGAGTGACAGGTCCTTATTTCTAGGGGTAAACTGTTCCAGATCTTAGAGTACATGACTATGAAGAAGTTTGCACGGAGTGCTGTTTTACAGTTTTTCCTAGATACTGTGCACGTTTGGTTACGAAGGTTGTAAGAGCTTTCCGGTGAGAACTGTATCTCCTTGCTGTCTGAGAATGATATTTTATGCAAGACTTTAAAGAAGAATGTTAGGTTAATGCTCAGTCGTCTCATCCAGAGTGGGTCGATACCTAGAGTTATACACCTTGATGTTGCTGAATTATGAACACAGTGTGGGCAGTAAACGGAGCTCTCGTCGTATGTTTTAATGAAAGTAGTTAGTAGAGATGTTTGAAACACAATGAATAATGTTACTCAGAAGAAGACTGACTGGAGCGAGTAATTGTTTGTTTTCAATAAATGTTTAGTCAGGCTGTACAATTAAAAATCGGTTAATTTTTTGAGCATGGAATAATAGTGTCAGTAGGGGTGAATTTGAATCGTATCGGAAAGTGTATTGTGTTGCATATAAAAGCTGG